GCTATACTCAATTTTTGGATTTGTTTAAAAAATAATATAGTCGATTTTTTAATATTTGTTTTTAAATAGTATAGCTGATCAATTATACCCTTAATATTTTTTTTAAAAATAAAAAAAATGGGATGCCTAGGCATTATTAGGCGGGTCCTTTTTATATATAATTTTTTAATAAATAGTAGCCGCGCGGTAATACTTTGGTTTTTTTTTTAAATTTTTTTAAAATTAACAGCATAGCTGTGCAGCTTTTTTTGGTATTAAATAGTATAGCCGCACGGCGATACAGTGTAAGTATAATATATTTAAAGAGTATAGTCGCACGGCTATATTAGTTTAATAAATAGTATATAAACAACACGAACCGCTGCTTCTCCTTCATACTCTTCAGTCTCCATCGAAGCCTTCCTATCCTCCTCCCATCTCCTCTATTGCTTGTTGTTCGATTATGTTTCAGAAAATCAAAATTCCATTCTTTTATTTGTTTAAATCTTGCTGAATCACGCACGATGCACCCCGGGCTTCTCTGAGAGTTCTCACTGAAGATGAAAGCCCCAATGCTCGTGCTAAAACGTCGCCGTTAAGTGTTGCAGTTTAGCTTTGCTCCCCACGGCTTTTCTGTGTCAAATCGACGGCCATATCTCTCCCAAGCTCATCCCTTTTTATCAATTTCAGTACTGTATGTTACGCCTCGACACACCTTAAGCCTGTTTTTGAAGATTCTCCGAAAACAGAGCTAGTCATGGAGGCGCAAAGCGATTGCGGTGTTAACGTGGGGGTTTATCGGTTTTGATGGTTTTGCCTCTAAAAACGTCCGCTAGATTTTTCCTCTTTAGATCTCCAAATTCAGTTTTTTTTATTGAATTTTGGCGATGATTACAAATTATCCGCGCTTCTGAGAGCAATCTATGAAGCAGAATGTGATAATCAATGGTTGAATTTCTTGATATGAGCCATGATTTGTGCTTTTTTTGGTTAATTTATGTTTTGGGTTGTTGAAAAGTTTGCATATTTTATCATATTTGTTTTGGCAGTGATGACTAAATTTACAGCTTTATGCCAGTTCTGCTTCAGAAAATTCGTGATCGAGAGAGCTGTTTCATACTCTGAGCCTTCAGTTTATAAATTTGATTTCTTTTGTGTCTTTTTTATACTGATTTGATGTTTCGAATTTTGTGTTTATGTGGCCTATGATGATTCAATCCGCTTATTTGAGGTGTGGTGGAGCTGAGACCCTGTTTTCAGGGAGAACCTCTCGGCGAAGCCACATTTCATATGACATTAATGGATTTAACTGAGGTTTTGGTCAAAATTATTGCATCTAAATCAAATGTTTGTGTGTCCATTGCTTGATCTGCCGTTTTATGTTTTGAAAATCTTCTTGTTGCAATTTTGATTTGAATATTGTGTTGTTCTGACCTAGGATGATTGCATCCGCTTGTTTGAGGTGTAGTGGAACTGAGACCCTGTTTTCAGGGAGAACCCCTCGGTGAAGCTACATTTCATATGACATTAATGGATTTAACTGAGGTTTTTAATCTTAATGGTTGCATCAAAATCCAGCGTTTGTGTGTTTGGTTTTTGTATGATAAGATTAGGTGCTAAGATTAGACCCTGTCAACATGTTCTTTCTTTGTTTGTGTGTTTTAAATCAAACACTGTTAATGTTTGTTTTTCTTTCTTTTATGTTTGATTTTGAGTTTTAACTATACCCTTGTCCTTAATTCAATTAGGTTTAGGGTCTGAAAAACTCATAAATTTTGGTGTTGTCTATCAGCTTCATCTATTGTTACTGGTGGAGACTGAAGTTAAACAACAACACTACATCTAATCGCTTTCAAGCTCTTTGTATTTTGCATTTAGGTGAAAATCATGTGGGAACTGAATCTGATTTGAACTTCTCCTGAATATGAATGTGAAGAATTTGGTACGGTAACATAAATAACTATTTTTAAATCAAATTTTCCGTGCCCTAAAAAAGTCTTGCTGCTGGTTTTCGCTCTTTTTAACCCCTAAACAAAAGCATAACTACATCTCTTTGACAAAAAAAAAACTCTCTCCTGGAAAGAGACCCAACTCACGACTATTACTATTAGAAATATAAAAGGGAAATATGTACTCAATAACACTCGGTTTATTCGAATATACCTATTTGAAATATCTTAGCCCCTATTATGCACTAAATAAATAGTAATTAAATAAGTAATTATGCACTAAATATTTAATATTTCAAATATAATAAATCAAGTAAGTACTAATTATGCACTAAATTAATAATATTTGAAATATAATTGTAATTAAATAAGGCTAAGATAGTTCTTAATTACAAATATTAAACTAAAAAATCTAATTTTGTTTTTAAAAATAAATTTAAAATAGGTATATTCGAATAAAGAAAATAAAAATAAATATTCGAGTATTATTGAAACGTATAGCCGCACGGCTATACTGTTTGAATATTCGATATTCGGAGAGTATAGCCGCGGCTATACTCTTTAAATAGTAGTAATACTCGGCTATACTCTTTAAAATACCCGAATATTTACACAGTATAGCCGAACGGCTATACTACGGCTATACTATTTATTTATTTTTTTTAAAAAACATGCCTCACATTTTTTTAACGAGTATAGCCGTCTGGCAATACTATTTATTTAAAAAAAGACCCGCCTCCCATTTTTTTCCAAGTATAGCCGTCGGGCGATATTATTTATTAAAAAATAAAATAAAATAAGGATTAACTACACTTTAGTCCCTAGAGGTTTAGTGTCAGTATCGAAATTGGCCCCAAAGTTTCAATTCAATCAATTTCATACCCGACATTTCCAAGTATTACCAATTTACACCCACCGTTACATTGACCGTTAAAGTCAGACGTTAAATGCTGACGTGGCAGTCGTGGGACCCACCTCATAACCAAACAGTAGTTAGAAAGAGACCAATATGGGACAAATAATATTAAAAAATTATTTATTTTTAAAGTTAATTAAAATCAATTATTTTAAATAAATAAAAAACATAATTAAAAAACCCTTCAAACTCCCCACCCGTCTCCTTCTTCCTTCTTCTCTCCACCCATCAAACCCTAAATCCAAACCCAGCATCTCCACCACCCACCCTTCTTCTTCCTCCTCCTTATCTTTCAAAAAAACAATTTAATAAAATGAAATGAATATACCCAGAGCGTTATGCCTGGAAGATTCACGCATCAAGTTGGCACAGAATTGGTCTCCATCGTTCAACGAGTTTTTACTCAAAAATTCCATCATCTCTTCATATGCCTCGGGGTTGTAACTCTGCTCTGGGAATTTACTCTCCACGCAGCCCCGCCCCAGCCCCATCCCCATCCCCTTTCCCTCCTCCTCTGAAATATCTCCTCCCCTCTTACTCTCTCTCTCTCTCTCTCTCTCTCTCTCTCTCTCTCTCTCTCTCTCTCTCTCTCTCTCTCTCTCTCTCTCTCTCTCTCTCTCTCTCTCTCTCTCTCTCTCTCTCTCTCTCTCTCTCTCTCTCTCTCTCTCTCTCTCTCTCTCTCTCTCTCTCTCTCTCTCTCTCTCTCTCTCTCTCTCTCTCTCTCTCTCTCTCTCTCTCTCTCTCTCTCTCTCTCTCTCTCTCTCTCTCTCTCTCTCTCTCTCTCTCTCTCTCTCTCTCTCTCTCTCTCTCTCTCTCTCTCTCTCTCTCTCTCTCTCTCTCTCTCTCTCTCTCTCTCTCTCTCTCTCTCTCTCTCTCTCTCTCTCTCTCTCTCTCTCTCTCTCTCTCTCTCTCTCTCTCTCTCTCTCTCTCTCTCTCTCTCTCTCTCTCTCTCTCTCTCTCTCTCTCTCTCTCTCTCTCTCTCTCTCTCTCTCTCTCTCTCTCTCTCTCTCTCTCTCTCTCTCTCTCTCTCTCTCTCTCTCTCTCTCTCTCTCTCTCTCTCTCTCTCTCTCTCTCACATATGGTTCAATCCAGTTATGCTAATACACCCATATTCCCACCACCAAGACCCATACCCAGATCTGCAAGTGGCTAGAAATTTCCGGGTGATTGGGAGGTGCGATGGGCAATCGGGAGGGGCAATCAGGAGGTGCGAATTTCCGGGCAATCGAGAGGTCTTTGTCGACCTCGAAAACCCA